CATGCTGGCTGGGGAATTCTGGGGGTTGAAGTCCACTCATCTTAAAGTGGCCAAGTTTGGACAACACCGGCCTACTGTAACATGCTACATGGGGCTGCCCTTGTGGAGTATCTGGAAGCTTCAGCTGGTGCAAAATGCAGCAGCATTGACAATTATGGGTGTTCCTGGAAGGACACATGTTACACCTCTGCTCCACAAGCTTCATTGGTTGCTGGTTTGCTTCCAGGTGCAATTCCAGGTGCTGGTTTCGGCCTTTAAAGCCCTACATGGCCTGGGGCCGGGTTATATGAGGGACCATCTCTTCCTGATTATGTCTGCCTGTCCCATCAGGTCCAGCAGGAGAGGCATGTTGCGGGTCCCATCTGCTAAGAAGTTCCATCTGACGGGACCCAGGAGATGGGCCTTTTCTGCTGTGGTACCCACCTGTAGAACATTGTCCCCCCCACCCGAGGTTGGCCCCAACCCTTATGGCCTTCCAGAAAGCTTTCAAAACATAGTTTTTTCATCAGGCCTGGGGATCACCTTGAGCCTGCGTGTCGGCTGCACCATGTATAACATTCTGATTTTACCCTCTTCCAATCTTGTTCTTATGTAGGTTTAATCATTTAATGTTTTAAGTGGTTTAATAATATGTTTTAATTGTCTCTTTTATTGTACGCTGCCCAGAGTCAGCTTGGGTGAGAAGGGTGGCCACATCAATCGGATAAACAAACAAACTTTCTTTTTAAAAGGTTTACACATTTTGGTGCCTATTTCCCCCAATATGCATTTTTGTTGGGCTGTGTTGCTCCATGTATCAGCGGATAAGAGAACACCAAAGTCTTGCAGAATCACTCCTATCTGAAAACCTGGTAGATCTGTTATCCTCATGAGGTTCCATCCCTTCGAAAAACCTTTTTAAAAAGAAAATATGGGCACTAACCAAAGTCAAGATGGGAGCAAGGACTCTGCAATGGAAGCACCGCCCCCTTTTTAATGCACCATGGCTACATAAAAAGGGGCAGTGCTTTGACCACATAATTGCAGATGCCATTTTGACTTTTGGACCCCCCCCCCCCCCCCCCCCCCCC